AACATACCAGATTGCAAACCAATATGTTGGCAGTTCAAATCTAACAGCCACTCTGAGGGACAAAGATGGAGAGTTACCTCCTATGAAGGTATGAAACCAAACCTGATGATGAGTAGAGGCAGTGGTTCATTTATCATTTTGCTTAAGTAAGAATAAGCACAGTGGTGGTTATATGCTGACCTGCTAACTGAAAAATCAGTGGTTTGAGCCCACTAGCCCTTCTTGGGAGAAAGATAAATCAGGCTGCTCTTACTAAGATTTATAGCCTTGAAAACCCAGTAGAGGCTTGCCATGAATCAGTGTTACTCAAAGACAATAGGTGTGACAGTAATACAGTCACTATCCTCTTTCTGTGTTCTGCATGAAGCTACTATATTTACAAAGAGCTTTATTAATTAAGTCTTCTTGTTAAATCTTCATGGCTTCTCTTTATTCATAGTCTCAACATATAACTTTCAAGTGCCTCCGGAGCTATTCATGATTGTTAAAGCCAGTTCTATAGAAGTTGAAACACGCTGAGAGGTTAAACAATTTTTACCACCCTGCTTTCTATTCCTCATCACTATATGCTGTTGTGTGGAGTACCAGCGAGTTGGAATTGACTCCTAGCTCACCCTCCAGTGGATTTTCAGAGGCGGCTAATTGCACAGGAGGAGGCCACTCATTTTTCTCCCATAGAACAGCTGACAGATACTACTAGGTCACCCGAGCTCCCTACCACTGTGTGGTATGATCAAAATTAAAGTCATTGCCATCAAATCTGAACCAACACACAGCTGCACCTCCACTGAATTTGGGAACCTGTAATAAGGTGCAAAAGAGGAGATTGCCTATCTTTCTCCTGTGGAGTGGCTGGGAAATTTTTGGCGTTTGGATTTGCAGCACAACTTCCTAAAGACGATGCCACCAGAGCTCCCTGTTTGGTGTGGTAGACTATAGTGTCAGCTAGAATGTTAATATGATTATAATGACTTTATGTTTTCTGCTTCCCAAATAACAACATCTTAACCTAATACCCCCCCTTTTTTTTTTATAAAAAAAACCCCTCCAAATACAACAAAACAGTTGCTGTCAAGTTGTTTCCAACTCATGGAAACAGCACATGTTTGAGGGTAGCAGAACTGAGCTCTGGGGCATTTTTAATGGCAAACGTTTCAGAAGAGATTCTTTCCTTCAAGGCCCTTCTTTGTTAGACTCCACAAAGGGTAGACTCAAACTTCCAGCCTGTTCATTAGCAGTCAATTTATTAACTGCTTTTTTTACCATCAAGAAGCACCTTTAGTCTTTTCCAAACAGTCATATCAAAATGGGATAAATAACACCATTAAAAGAGGGAAGAGTAACATGAGGATGTCTCAGATCACATGGGGCCAGTAGTTACCTGACTGCTCTGTTCACAATTATAGCTGACAAGTTATAGAGCTGACAATTATAGAGACAAGTTGTTGGTATGGTTGTTAGGTGTTGTGGTATTGTGTATGACTCATACTGACCCTATGAAACACAGATCTGAGCCCTGTCTTATCCTGTGCCATCCTCATCATCTCTGACATACTTGAGTCCATTGCTGCAGTCACTGTATCAATCCATCAGGTTAAGGGTCTTCCTCTCTTTCTCTGACACACCACCTTCCAAGCATGATGTCCCCTCCAAGGAATATTCTCTCCTTACAACATAGTAGCCTAATGACAAAAAACTGCACTGCAATCCTGAAGGCACATGGCTCAAATCTATTGGTTGCTCTGCCAGAGAAAGCTAGGCAATCTTCTCTCATGTAAATTTTTGTTGTTGTTAGGTACCATCGAGTCAAGTACGACTCATATCAACTTTATGGACAGCCAAATCAAACCCTGCCCTTACCCTGTGCCATCTTCATCATCTCTGAGACACTAGAGCCCATTACTGAAGTCACAGTGTCAATCCATCTCATTGGGTTCTTCCTCTCCAACTTCTCAGCATGAGGTCCCTCTCCAAGGAATAGTCTCACCTAGCTACATGTCCAAAGTATGAAAGACGAAACTTCATCATCCTTGCCTCCAAGGAGCACTCTGGATGCACCCTTCTAAGGACATATCTGTTTTTTTCTTTTGACATTCAATGGAATATTCAGTACTCTTCTCCAACATCATAGCTCAAAGAAAGGCATCAATTCTTCTATCATAATTATTCCTTGTCCAGCTCTCTAATGTGTAGCAGGTGCCTGAGAAGACCATGGCTTGAATCAGGCTCACCCTAGTCTTCAAACTGACATCATTGCTCTTCAGTATTTTGGAGAGATACCGGACAGCAAACTTGATCAATGCTATTAATGTTGTTGTTATGTGCCGTCAAGTATATTGTGACTCATAGTGACCCTATGTACAATAGCCCTAAACTATGCTCTGTCCTGTTAATACGTCTCCTTATTTCCTGACTGCCAGTATCAAGGGTATTGATTATTGATACAAGCAGGATGAATTCATTAATAGCTTCTATGTTGACAGCTGGGCCTGTGGTGAGCATCTCTGTCTTCTTGATGTCTAGATGTAATCCATACTGAAGGCTGTAGTCCTTGGTCTTCTGCAACAAGCGATGCATATCCTCCTTACTTTCAGCAAGCGAACTGCTGGAAGATCAACTGTGAGTCTATTCCAATTCAACAGCACACAACAACAAGCCCAAAGTATATGAGATTAAGCTTCACCATCTTTGCACTTTGGCTGCACTTACTACAAGTTTATTCTTTTTGGCAGTTCATGGGATATCAAGTACTCTTCTCCAACACCACAACTCAGAGGTGTCGGTTCTTCTTCTGTGATTCTTATTCATTCCCCAGCTCCAGATGCACAGCAAATGGTTGCAACTATCATGACCTGAGTTGGGTGCACTTGCATCTTTAAACTGACATCACTGCTCCTCAGTACTTTGGAGAGGGTCTGGCTGCATACTTTTTCAATGCAATATGTCTTTTCATTTCTTGACTGCTGGTACCAAGGCAGCTGACTGTGGATCCAATTGTTGGCAATTTCAGTCTTTTTACCATTTATCATGAAGTTGTCTATTGGCCCAGTGGTGAGGATTTTGTCTTCTTGATATTGTGATATAGTCCATATTGAAGGCTGTAGTCTTATGTAGCAAATGTCCTCACTTTCAGTGAACAAAATAGAGACAGGATCAGGCCTCTTTTCTATATGGGACAAGTAGCAGCAGTAGACTCTTATAGAAGGTTACCACTTCTGCACATGATAATGTGCCGAGATCTGCTTCTCTCCAGGCCCTGTAATATCATTAATTGCACTTTTCTTGGGGAGGCATAAGGGCCCCTAGTGGCATAGTGCACAAAGTGTCAGACTGTTAACCATAAGGTCAGAGAATCATACCCACCAGCCACACCATGGCAGAAAGATGAACAGTCCCCCTCGTAAAGATTTACAGCCTTGAAAAGCCAGTGGAGAGTCACTGTAAACTCACTCTGCTGCACTGGGCTCAGGTGGTGGCTTTGGCTTTCATCTTACAGGACAGACAGGGTGCTCTTTTGCTCAACCCAGTGCTTCCTGAAAACTGTTTCCTGAGCAAGTGTAAGCAGGCAGGGAGAGCAGATGATGCAAGCAGTTCTTTGATTCTGGATTTTTTTAAATTCTTCTTCAAATTATCTGGTAAGTAGACAAGTTTTTCCCCTTTCTACCCAGTTTTGGAGACAGTTATGGAGAAAATCTTCCTCTCTCTGCTAAGTAAACATATTTATTAACTTTTCTTAACCTGAGGCAAAACTCCCACTCCTGTTCTCCTGACTCCCATCTGAGTTAACAACCTTTACTTGTCCTTTACAGAAGCCTCCTAATCTTCTGGCAGCTCCAATGAGGCCCATTCACTCCACAGACACACAGATGAGGGGAAAACAAATCTGGACTCATTGCAGGACAATTGAGGTGAAACGTGGAAATTCAGGCAAAAAGAGGTGACTGGGCAAATATCCCAGAATTAGCTGTTCATGTTAGCTAAATTTATGAAATAACTGTTTAAGTTTCATGAACATCAGCTCTTCTCCTGAATCTGATTTTTAATGAGAAGCCTTCAATGCTTCACAGCTTTTTTTTTTTTCTGACTGCAAAGGACACACAGTAAAATGTCAAGTGTTGTATCATTCTATGATGTAGACTCCTGGGACCAACCCCAGGTACTTGCTGTGGTAACTAATTAAGCAGCTTAATCTTTGTAACACTGCTTAATATTCTCTTATCAAGGTGTTATCTCATTTCACCCTCCACTCAGCAATCCACTGGGTCTTCCTGCCCCATTCAACTCATCAGCCATAAGTCAAGACAATCTTTCCTTCCAGAGAAAGTACCCATTCCCCTTGCCATCTCACCTTGCACCAAGAGCTAGTCCATTCTTCTCTACCATCTTCTTCATTCAAAGGCAAACTATTACTACACTCTAAAACTCCAAAGATTCTGTTTTTAAAGTTTATCTATAAGACCATTCTCAAAAGTGAACATGATTCTCACAAGAAATGCAAAGTTTTCATCAGCCCTGGCCCTCTTCTCCTTCAGAATCTCATTAACCTCTTTCCCGCTGGGTTAGAGCTAGAAGGGCTCTTTCTCTGGTACCCTGTTTCTGTGTGTGGCCTGGAAACTACCTGCCTGAGGGTGTAGGGGATTCGTTAAAACATTCCAATCTCCAAGCTCCTCCCTGTCTTTACTAAATTAGATTCCCTGGGGGTGAGGCAGGAAATAAACTGTTTAAACCAGTTCTCAGGGTAATTGTTTTACAGGCTTCCATACCAGCCTTTGAGAGGTTCTGATTTAAATTTGCTCTCTCTCCCTCTACAGAGGAGCACAGAAAGCAGACACCTAGAGGGTGAAATGGACTTGTCCAAGGTCACAGGACTTTAAAATGTCCAGACTTATAACGCAAACACCTCTGTCACTGATAAGCACCCCAAGAGCCAGGACGAGCCTGGGTGAGGAAGGGTGCGTCCAGCAGTCCCCCAACCCTGACCCAGCGGCCCCTGCACTCACCCGCTTGTAGACATCTTCCCTGCTGGCCTCATACTTCTGCTGCATGCGCTCCTCCAGGAAGTAGATGCGCAGCTTGAGGCTGAAGTTCTCCTTCTTCAGGTCATTAAGGTGCTGGGACAGAGTGCGATATCCATTAGACATGGTGGGCAACCCATGGGGAGGAGCCTTCCCAGTCACCCCCTCACCCCAGGACCATAGCGCAGCTGCACCGCGGCATGAAGGGACCCGCGGGAACGCTGCTGAGGCTGCGGGGACGCGAGGCTATGGTGACATGGCTCCGCTTGTTGGCGATCTCTCAGGGGCTCCCAGGACAGGGCAGGCTGGCTCTGGGTGCTGGGGCAGCGCACTTTCCTTTTTTACCTCAGGGAGATATTTGCGGAATCCCTGACAGAGGAACATGCTGCGTGAACTCAGACACAAGTGGTGTAACCCGACTCCAGGCGGGACAGGCTGCCACCCTCCTGGAGCCTCCAGGCCCAACTGCAGGCAGTTAACAGCTTCTCGGAAGAGAGAGGGGACTGACCCCCAGCAGCTTCCAGGAAATGGGGAGGGGGAGTGATTCAAGGTGGTGGGTGGGGGGTGTTGTGAAAAAGAGAAGGGGAGAAAGTAGAGAGGTGTGTGATGGGTCTTTCGGGTCTTGATGACTACTTTGGACACTAAACGCATAATGAAGTAAGACTGTTGGAGAAAAGAGCACTTGTGCACAAAATGGTAGTTATGTTTCAAATATCTTTTTTGTTAGGTGCAAATCTTGAATGGCTACCAATTACAGGGGTGTCTTGATTGCTTTAAGGATCTAAATGCTTTCCTCTAATCATTTCCTTCCCAGTTCCCCTCATGTTTCTCCATCCCTGAAGGAATTAAATTGGTAGCATTTATTAGGACACATCTTCTCCCACCCATGTTCACCCTAGCAACTCTCATGTTGTTGTTGTTGCTATCTATATGCTATTCGGATAGATTCATGGCTGACCCTCCAAACAGTTTTCAGAGGCCAAATCACACTGAAGGAGATCGCTTCTTTTTCTCTCACAGAGCAGCTCTCAGATTCAAACTGAATGCCTTTGAATTGGCAGGCCAATTCCTTACTAGAGCCCCCAGCCACTACCAAAGAAACATTTTAGTTTAGTAGAATCTTAAAAACTCTGGATGGGTTACACCAGCTCACAAACAAGCCAGGGCAAGGACTCCTCCCTTCATGGGAAGGACAGGGCAGGAGAGGGAGCCATCAGCCAGCGCCTCAGAGATTTCAGCCAGTTACTGGCTCTTAACTCAGGCACCTGCCAAGTGGAGCCAAGCACTCATCACCAGATCCTGCTCATAAAGCAATTTAAGATCCTTGAATGACAGCTGCAGCATAAGCAGGAAGTAGTATTTATACCACCTCACATGGAATATTGAAGGTGACTGAGAGACAACCCCACAGCACAGATACCAAACACGGCTCTTGGCTGCAACAATATGAGGTTGGAAACCACTTAATATTAACAATCCAGAGGAAGAAAATGTAAAAGTTTACATGGAATAAATTCAAGCATTCACTCACTTCTTACCCAGTTTACCTGGTTTTCATTCTTCAATTGCCTTCTCAAATTTTCATAATTACTCAATATCTCCAGAGTTCACATAAGGTAATAGTTCACTGGGCAATACAAAGAAATCAGCATCCCAAACCTCTAGCAGTTTGGTGGTCATGTAGCTTATTATTACACATGAAGATGTATGTTTTACAGTATCATCTTCCAAGTCTGTGTTTTTAAAATATTTTACATCACAGTCCAGCCAGCTCACCCTTGCTCTTTTCTCCTCTCTCTCACATACACCCACACACCTGAAGTAAAGTTTTCAAAAAGTAATTGTTAAAATGTCATTACGAGTGATACGCAAGTTTTCTGTGCTATTTCTTTTGTGGGAGTGAACCACCCAATTGATTGCATGATTTACTACTGGGCCTTGACCTACAGTTTAAAACACACAGAATCGATGTGGCTATGTGGAGAAGAGTGGCTAATTCTAACTAAAATCACCAAAAAGAGTTTCACTAGGAATTTAATTTGCACTTTGCTTTAAAAAATTAGAGGAAGCTCTGGTGGCCTACTGGCAAGAAGCTGCACTGCAATCCCAGAGGTGTGCCTTTTGAATCCACCAGATCCTCTGCTAGAGAAGGAGGGACAATCTCCTCCTGTACCAGTCAGATCCAAGGTGATGGTACACACACAAAAAAATAATAATTTTTTTAAAGATTATAAAAGCTTAAGGAATAATGCTAAATTTAAAAAAAAAAACCAACCCAAAAGTTGTTGTTGTCAAGTTTACCAATTTTTTGCCTCATGGTAGCCCCTCATGTATTTCAGGATTTTCAGTGGCAAGGATCTTTCAGATGTAGGTTGCCAGGTCTTTCTTCCTAGGTGCCCATGGTTGGTACCTTTTACTTGGTAGTCAAGGGTTTAACCTACCCAGAGACAACGAAGTGATTTCTGGAAGGCATAATTAGAGTTGAACATTCTAATAGATTTCAGTTATAAATGAGCAACACACTTCATACCATAGACAGCTGGTAACAAGTCAAAACATTCTTGATTTTTTACGAAAACATCCATACATTAAAATATAAATATTTTCATTAAAGTTGTGCTCTCAGAGTAATTGTTTAGGCTTGATTAGACAGAGACAATGAGAAAAAGAGAAAAGTCTAAATTCAAACTTAGAAGACTCATTTCTAATCCCAGTTTTGTGACTGAATAGCTGTATGGCCTGGAAATGTGGTCACTCTCCTGAGGTTTACGCGTCCTCATTTATGAAATGAAGTAATTGTGAGAGGTGTTTAAGGTTCTTTCCTGGTATAGACTTCAAGAAAGTTAACCTAGTTTTTACCCCCTCTGTTTTGTACAAGGGGAACCAGGCTGCCAGATTCTAGGTTAGTGTTTAACTAAGCTGTCTCTATATCCTTGGACTCCATCATGGCATAAAATAAATTCATGAAAGTTTTCTGGACTGTGAAAACTATATGTGAATGCAGAGTACTCTTATCCAGGTAACAGGTTGGGTTTTTGGGGTTGTTTTTTTTTT